AAAGAGATTTAACTTTAGAGAAGAAAAGACAATCATTTTAAAGAGAAGCATAGGCAGGCAAAAGCAAAATAATAAAAGGACGAGTTCAGTGGAAATAACAACATGGTTTCAGGTGAAAATGTAAGGCCATGTCAGGGAATGAGCCATGAATGCCATATGCTTGTGTGCTGTGATCTGAACTGCAGAAAAAGACATTCAGTCCTAAGCCTTCTTTCTGCATTGCATAATTTTTCCCAGGAGCTACCCAAACGAAATATCTCAGTTAACCTCGTTTAGCTCACAGGCCTGATGAAGTACCCACAGCAGGCAGGGCAACAATTTAGCTTTACCTTTTTACCTTTGGTTACAGTAACAGAGAGTCTCTTTCTGATGGCATTTGTTAATGCTGCTGAGGAAACAAAAACGAAATCTCTTCCAAAACAATAAAGTGCATACTTCCTTTGTATGCATTAAATGCACCAACCTACTTTCTGGTCTCTAGATAATGTAACCTATATATCGTTGTGTGATCCTGGCTGTAAATAGATCCTGAGCATTGTGAAAGTGCTGCTGTTAGCACAACAGGCCATTACTTATTCTGAAGTGTTAGGGCACACAAAGCATTCAGTTTGTATTAGCAGTCTGAGAGCGACAGGAACGTTTGTGATGAAACTCAAGATACAGATTGTGTTCAGCTGTGAATTATTTCCTATCAAAAAGCTATAGATCATATAACTTAGATTTATCTTATATGAAAGACAGATAGATTGAGAAAAGAAGCTACGATATATAAAACATCTATAATAAAAGTCTGTGTGGCTTTATCAGTGTCTCTTAGGCTAAGGATTCATTTCTGTTACCAAAAAACATCCTTGCATTTTCCATAACTTTAGGCAACCTAGTGTTAAAATTTATATTGTCTGGCAGAATCTGATATTCCTTTCTGGTTTTGAAAGTTCTTTTGTACAAATTTACCTATATTGGACATTTAGCTGACATATTGGATACCAGACATTCAAATTCTTCCATTTTTTACAGGCCTTAAGTATTCACTGACTGTCTTTCTCCATGCTACAACATTATTGTTTAAGAAGGTCGTTGAGAAAAATATCACTTGGGAATACTTTGATCCACTGTCAGTAAAGGTACTTCTGGTGAACTGCTCCACTGGACTTCGTAAAGTCCAGTTGTTTAAGCAAACTCTGACTGACATCATTTCACCTCAACTAAATGGAAGTCTTGAGAAAAAATAGTAAAAATCTGAATTTCTGTTATCTTGAAGGTAACAATTCAGAAGTCAAAAGATTATACACTTTGAAGGAAAATTCTCTCATGTCTGACAGAAAGGTATTTCCATGTTACTGTCTAAGTGAATAAGAGTGATTTATTCTTACTTTTCCCACTTGACACAGGTGAAGATGACCTCAATGCTGAAGAAGATGATGAAGTTTTGACTCTTTTGTATGATCCATGTCTGAACTGTTACTTTGATCCAAATTCTGGGAAATACTATGAATTGGCATAGTCAGATCATGAGGAGACATCATTTTGTATTTAGAGTAGTTTTATCTTTTAACTGTTTGCAAAGTGTGGCTGAGCTGGATAATTTCTCATGTAACTTAAAACATAAATAAACCAATAGTTTTGCAAACAAGTTTATATATTTTGTAAATAGTACTTATTTTTATAGTTCTGTATTAAGTTGTAACGCAGTGGAAAATCACATAACATAAAAGTTCCTGGTGACTAAGGCATTTATTTGTTAGTCTAATTTATTTCCATTATTCAGAGTTTCTATATGGAAACAAATAAAGTTGAATCAGGAAGGTTTGTGGTGTTTACCTGTGAACTATAGTTTTACTTGAATAAAAAAAAAAATCGTTCCTTGTTTATTGTGTACTTTTAATTGGTTCTGAGCTATCTTATTCTTTGTACTCTAAGATATACAGTGGGTTCTTCAAAGGTCTCCACTTCACAAGCTCACTCTCCCTCCAGTAATCAGGGAGGGCTGTAGTTTTCTCACCTTCAAGGAATTCTCTGCTGATAGATGTTACAGTAATGGGGCGATGTGAAAGCTGTCGGGTGGTACAGTGTGCACAGTGTGGTGCACTTCGAGGGCTGTGCATGGACAGGTCATAAATTTCGACCACCACAGGATGAATATGGCAGGTTCTGAGAGCACCAGCTGCTGTCTACTTTACTGATGTAATTTAACATAGGATTGTAGAGTAGTAAAAGTGATTGCTTCAACACTCAAAAACTGGAGCCTTCTTTCAAGTCAGGTGTGCATAAAATTCATCTGCAAAGCTGTGCTCAGGGTGCAGGTCTTACGTGTTTGTCTTAGTTTTTCCATTACACCTTGCAATAACAGAATGTAATTTATTTAATTAATTACTTAACTGACCTATGTTGAGTTTCAATAAAGTTTTCAGTAAAGGTCCTTAACAATTGCCTGCATCACTGTGCAGGTTTTTTTCTAAGGTACATAAAATATCCCTATGTGTAAATAAGATAAATTAATAATGAAAAATCATCTGCCTGATATTGGAGAAAAGCAACCATGAAGCAAGAAATCCAAGGAGTTTTGTGGTGGAGTTGAGTGAGTGAAACAGCATTGGAGTCCACCAGTGCAGCAGGTAACAGTTTTCTGGAAACAGTTGAAGGGAATGACAAAATCACAGGGCAAAAGTGATCTATAGGCATTTCTGGTGATTCTTATTCTAAGTTTATACTTGATTATACCCAGTGCTCTTCCACTGTAATTATTTGCAAGATGATTACTCAGTGAATTTTTAAGAATAATGTATTTGAATGTCATAAAGTGAGCTTAGTAAGCTCACTGGCAAGTGATTTAAATTATATGTCTGCAAATTTGTATGTAATTATGGATCCTAGTTAATGAATATCTCAGAATCAATTGAAGATGCAGTTGTTAATAGCGACTTGGCATAAGATCTGGCTGTGTATTTAGCTTCTGTGGCAGGTACAAACATATCATCACAAATTGATTCAAGAGTACTACTGAAATCCACAGGAAGACAGATACTGTCTTGCGATAATTTACTTACTCTGCCTTGGCCTGTTTTTCCCAGAAAGATTTGTTACCTGTTGCTGCTGAATCAGTTTAAAAGTTCAGTGAAATCATAATTTTGACCTTCGAAAATCAGATGCTAGCTTGTACATGCTTGTGCATATCTAACCACTTTAGCATCATCCAGTGATGGAGACCAGGCTCCCTGTATCTGTGGCAAGGGCTGCCTAGATTGTGATGTTCATTTTCCTCTCCTAGCCACGTCTCACAGGAGTGGCTGGATGTCCTAGGGTACCACTGTGAAGCCAGACTGGGTCAATGATGCTACTGAGAATACTGATCACTTTGGGAAAAAAAAAGAAGGGAAAAAAAAAATCTGGTTGCAAACTGTTGTCCACTATTTACGAGGCAGAAGCCTGCAAAGGGCCAACAAGTTCTCTGCCAGTGCCTGTCTGGGTAGATACGCTGGTCCTGGCTTCACAGCAGGCAGTCACTGATGTGTAACATGCAGAAGTGTACCAGTGAACATCCAAAAGTTGGGCAAAAGGGAGTCCTTGGAGACTCCACGCTCTTATTCCCACATTTCATGTGATATGGAGGTAGGTGGGTAGTGACACTAGGTTCAGTGTGAGTCTGTTTTTCCAGGCAGGGTCATAGGCAAGTCCAGATACACTCTTCTTTCCTGTCACTATCTCAGTAGTATTTTATAGGTATGTCCTGCTTTTCAAAATCAGCAGTTTGGGATCCTTGCCCTTTGTGTTCTAGTTAGCAGCTTTATGTCTTCAGCATCCGTGGGGATTGATTGCTGTAATGCTGTGAACAACACCTGTGAGCTGAGCTGCATGAGAGGCTTTGCTACAAGGACTGTAAGTTTTGCTCACAATGTTTTTCTTAATCATCATCCTGTGAACCTAGAACTACAGCACTGCTGGCACGCAGCACGCTTTTTGTTTAGCCCATTTGTCAAAGCTGGCATTTATGGCAAGTGATGAAGAACACGGAGATTTGCTCCTAGCAGTCATGTGCAATGTTTTAGTCCATGAAAATCACATAATTCTCACCAGAGCATGCTTTCCAACAGGTAAGAAGACCTGTGTCTGGGCATAAAGCTTCAGGTCAATGAAACTGTCTGTAGGGATTTATTTCTACATCCCCAGCATAAGTTATGATTTTCGAGAACAGTTTTGAAATGCGGTAGATTTTAGTAAGACTTCATTAACATTTCTTAGGTGTGCACTGAAGATAGAGGAATTGTAGTTATCTTGGTAGAGCTGCTGGACTCAGCAGATCACAAATCAGCCAATTGATTTCTGAGGCTTTTCTATGTTTCTTGCACACGTGAGGTGTGACAGACACCTCTGCTTTGTTTCCAGTTGCTAAAAAACACTGTCAACCAGCTTTCAGATAGTAAAGGAGGAGAGAAAAAAAAAAAAAAAAAAGAGAAAAACAACCTTTAAGATGACAGTTCTTAGCCACAGCCCAGAGCAGTGTATTCCTGTGTTGCTGGAATGGTTCTCCCCACTTGTCCCATTCTTTTTGTCCATCTGCCAAGGTTTTCTCTGAAGCCAAACCAAATTACCAAGTTTCAGCCTTCAGATCTCTGTGAACTGCAGCAGCACTGAGTTGCAGCTCACAGACAACTTGGTACATGTGAGCACCAGCATGGACTCCTCCAGGCAGCTGCTAGGACTTTGTAATCTTTGATCTTGCAGCACTGTCACCTGTACCCAAGTGCTGTCTGTGTGTGTGAGCCTCATTATGCTGAACAAAGAACACACTCTGTCCTAAGGAGCTTACAGTAGGCCATCAATATTGATTTTTCCCTTCTGCTGCTGTGGTTACTGGGTGAGAAAGCATGACAAGTCATGCTTTATTATTCACATATCCTTCAACTGTAAAGCATTCTGTTTAAGAGAGCATCCTCTAAACTTTGGGTCAAATGACAAGATTGCACGGGCTGAAAAATCCTGGAAAATAATTTTGCATAATGCATTTCACATTACAGTTATTTTTCCATGCTATTTCTTTATTTTAGAAGAGGGCTTATTTTTTTTCAAGCCATGTAAAATGAAAAGACAATCCAGTCTGTCTTTTCTATGTGGTATTGCTGATAATCACCACTTTTCTCATGGTTACTATAGTAACTTGGCATCCTTATCTGCCACCTTTTTTGGCACCTTGAAAAAAACTATTTAAATTCAGTTCCCTGATAAACTGAAAGCTTGGCTTCACGGTACCCATGGGAGTATGTAAGTGTAACAATACTTGTCATGTTTTCTTATTAGGTGTTTAACTTGCTTGTTAGCAGCTGTACAGTCAGTTCTAACTGTGATGTTTTGGGATCCCGCTGCAGGCGTTATAACCAGTGCCCAGGGTGGAACCCCAGAAATAACCGTGAGCTCCCAAGGGGTGACATGTGACAGCCCGTGATGCAAAGACCTGAGCAGGACTTTGCTTTTATCATGGCACTTTAAAAGCAGTTCTGTTTCCAAGCTTGACAGTTTTCCAGAGAAAAAATTATCTGTGGATGTTAAACTACATGGTAAGAATTATTATGAAGGCTCCTGTGGTAAATCAGTGGTGAATCAACAGCCTTGTGATGCTTTAAATCCTTTTCCAAGTGTGTGCCGTCCAGTCTGCATGGCAGATGAGAGTGAACTCGGGCTGGGGACTCTGGAGAGCTCAGACATTTTTGGAGGTGAGTTCAAGGCCGCTGCAATCACCAGGTGCCCCAGCTGAGCGCAGCTCCCCAGCAGCTCCACCGCTTTTTTGCTCTAAGGGCACCAAAACAGTGCTTGTGATAAAGGTTGTTTTTCTAGTTCTGTCAAAATGTGGCCCAGGTATGTCCCTCTGCTCACGCAGCCCTTGTGCTGGTGTCCTTAAAGCTCTCTGCACAGAAGTACTCCTACCACTGGAAGAGAAAAGGAGAAGTTGACACCTGAACAGCTGGTGTTAGCTCCCAGCCATTGGGCACAACTGTCCAGTGTGTCTGCAGAGGGACTGAACATTTTGCTGAAGCCAGAGCATTTAGTGGTCCATCCCTGCAGCTGTGGCCTCCTCAGCAAATCTCAGAGCTTTTTACTTCCCTATCGTATTCTTTTTCCAGGAGTTCTGAAGAGCAGACAGGTTTGAAAGGTACGTGGTTGCAAAACAGCAGAAGGAAAATGCTATCAAGAGCCGTTAAATGAAAAGCAGTTTTACTTCCACAGTGTGGCTGGAGTGCTTCTGGGGGCTGAGTGTGGGTCCTTGCCCCACGCCTCACAGACATCCTCCCCTGGCCACTGCTGGAGAAGAGACACAGGCTATGCCAGCAGTGGATCCCCTGCACTGACCAGGTACAGCCACAGGCTTTTCATAAAGGAAACCAGCCAGGCTCCCAGCACAACTGTTACTGCACCAGTCGTGCTGCTCTGCTTCAGACGATGTTTACATTACACTGTTAAGAGTTTTTATCTATTTAAAAGTTTATTATTGGATGATTGTGCTTTTTATCT